ATATATACACTGAGTGGCCAGATTATTATGACCACCTGACGTTTGTAGGCAAATTAGCTATAATTTAGCGCTGAAGTTGCTAGAGGGCCAGACCATTTACATAAGGAATCAGGTTTTTTACCACAACAGTAGAAGCAATTTTTTTTCTGAAGATATGGGTAAACAAAGCGATTTAACAGCCTTTGAACGTGGGATGATTGTTGGCGCACGGAGCCATGGAGCGAGTATCGGCAAAACAGCCGAATTCGTTAAAGAGCAGCTGTTGTTAAAAGTATTTAAAGACTGGACTGTCAGCTGAAAATCTGGGTCTGAACGTGCGAATTGTGGCCGTCAGCGACTAGTCAATGTTAGGACAGAACAGAGAGTGGCAAGACTGGTACAAGACAACAGAAGGGCAACAGTGCCGTGTCAGATTCCTCGCATCACCTTTCAACATCTCGTGGAGTCACGAGGCGCCCCAAAGAAGTCATCTCGTGGAGTTTTCTCGTGGCCCAATGAAGCACTGATGGGGCGGTCATAATAATCTGGCCACTCAGGCCACTCAGTGTGTGTATACACATACACACACACACACACGCGCACACACACACACACACACACAATGACCTATAGAGCACCAACAGATTGTGCAGTGCTTTAACAAATAAAGGGAGGCAGTACAGTTGCAGCACCAATAGACAAGAGGTTTAGGAGGGCCCTGGGATTTATACATACACACAAGCACACATGGTCAGCCACATTTGTTCTTTTACATTTACAGGTTCTGCTTTCCATGGCTACCCAATACATATATTTAATTTCTCCATCGTGTAATGCTAGTGTATAAGTTGGCTGTTTTACTTGAAGAAGTAAATGACTCCCTGTGTGGCTCATATCTTAACTTGAACAGTTAGAGTAATTGCAATGGCTAAATTACTCTAACCTACCCATCTTTAGATTCAATACTATAAATAAGCAGGAGCAAGCAGGTCAAAATTGTCACCAGTACAGAAGTTATGAAAAATGCCAAATGTTATAGTTCTCTTTGGGGCTAGGTTCACACCTAGGGGATTTATTGCGCGGATATAGCCGCACGATATAGCACAAAACCGAGATCTGCATGTAAGTCAATTGAGGCTGTCCACACCTTTGCTATGCGTCGCACGGCCGAAATCGCCTGTCGCTCAAAAAGGAACAGGAACATTTTTGCACGGTTATCGCGCAGTTTGGGTCCCATAGACATCTCTATGCATTGGAAACCTTGCAAACAAAAACGTGCAACAAAAGTTCACCAGCTCAATTGCCTTGGTGTGAACATAGCCTTAAATAGGAGGTATGGGGGAAACGTCCAATGGGGCCACTTGCTCCATTGATAGCTATCTAATAGGTATTTCCCCCTATGTTTGAAGGTTCCATGTTACTTTTTGTTGTGTCTACATGGAACATAGACAAAAACAAACAAAACAAAAAACGGACCACGGGGTAATGATTATTCCATGCTATAGCCAAAATGGTTTTACAAAGATATACTTTACATCAGTGCCACATTACACTATCTGAACCATCATCCATTCCAGTAATTTGTAAAAAAAAGAAAACAAAAGGCAGTAATACAGTTACAATGGGCATCCCATGTACAGTAGTTTATTGTTGATAATGCCATAATCCCTTTCTGGCATTATATTGGGCAGTATTTAATGTTTTGGGAGTGGCATTGTCTCTTCCTCTGATTTCAAGAATATGACACAATAATTAATATACACTTCTTTGTACACATACAAAATAAAGAATTCTGCAAGTACTTTTCTCCATCCTGACCAACTGGCCCCGCATTTTGTCTTAACTGCACCATGATGGGCTTGTTTTGTCCTCTTATGATGCATCAAACACTGTAGACCCATCACTGCTAGTAAGTAAGTTGTACCAATTTTTGTTATAATATAATGGTAGTGATACGATTATAGTGTCTTTTCTACAGGTAAGAGACTCTGGGCCTCTTAAAGACCTAATATGCAGCAGTTGTCTACGAACTGGCTTTGTGTATATGTGATCCTGATTGTCTGCTGTAAATGTGTTCTCATTCTCCATTCTACTGTGTAATATGTTATTGTATCTCCATTTTAACGTTCCAATAACTATGTGTGGACTCTGGCTGGGAACGCTCTGAAGTGACAGGTCTGTTTGTACAGAGTATATCCCTCACTCTTTGTGTTTTTCTCTGTGCAGCTTCAGGAAATTGTACTGGACTACATTCCAGATCCCAAGCTGGAGCTCGTCCTAGTAATGCTGGTGGTGCCTTTTATAGTCAATGTGAGTACAGTGCTTGTAATGGCAATGTAATGCCCTTATTTAGCGGGTTCTGTCTAAGCTTTTTTAGCATGGGAAAGAGTTTCAATAGTGGCTCTCCAGTCGCAAAAATATGGTGTAACAGTTTACACTGTTTACTACACTATACTATACTACATATTTATACCTTTAGTAAAGATGTTCTTTATCCCTTGCCCCTGGTTCTTAAATATCCTATACATCAGAAGTAATGCTTAGTGTTTTACTCATTTAGATATATAATAATGGTGCTGATGATTACTTGCCATATTATAAACTGTGGCCAACTTCTGAGATCATTACCTTTTTGTGGTTTAATTCCTCCGCTATCTGCAGTGTGTTTTATAGGGATGAGGTTCGGGTTGGCCGCTACTGTGGGTTTAAGGCAAATCCTGCAGTTTTGAGTTACATGGTCCTCACGAATACGCATGGGTGAGACCAAATTTAACCTGCTGGTTAATGCATATATATTCCAGTTTGTCCCCAAAAATAATGTCGCCTTTTTTTTCATACTACTTTTTACATACGCTGTATGTAAACCAAGCTAATTGTAAAATATTAATGAAAGAAAAATCCATGGCCAAACATGCCAGTCCATGCTGTTGCTGAAACTGTGCATTAAAATGTTACTTCCGTAACGCCAAGGATTTGTGTATTTTCATTTTTGCCACATAAAATCACTCTCCCCACTGTACGGTGTGTATTTTATTTTTGCATTAGTACATGTTTCCCAGTGTCCAGCTTCCCTTGCCTGTTTTAGAGTTAGAAATGCTCATATTTGTTTCAGTAATATCTTTAACAAAAATGTCCATAATTAAACACATCAAGAACATAAATGTACTCGAACTTAAAATACTTCCACAGTATGCAAGTTTAGAAGTTTCAGATGAATTCCTGTGCACCCCTCGGGGAGCCCCTTCTTTCCATACGAGTAGTTTTGACTTGGAGCTAAAGTCCAACCTCCCTCCAGTAGTTGACAGATCTCCTATTGAATTTCTTAAAGGTAGGGTTTACAAAAAGCACCTATTGCAAGTAATTTTTGGTATTCTAGCAACACCATCCTGTTTTTCTGTTTGATAGAGAAAGTTAGATGTTTGCATATCATACCTACTTTCATTTGTTAGTTGTTGGAACCTAGACAGAGCACATTGCATTTATTGCAACAGCTTGGCTTCTCTCTGCTCTCTAATCTTTGCTACCACTGCCCTTCACCCATC